CTCCCAATGATTTAGGAAGAGGCGGAGGACCCTTGGCGCCAAGTGCTTTCGAAGGCAGCGGCAGTTTGCCCACAGCCTTCGCCTTGCTCTCATCCTCGCTAGGCTTCTCCGCAGAGCCCTCCTCCTTCTTGCTCTCTGAAACGCCCGGATCCTCTGCATCTCCAGGACCCTTCCCCTCCACTGAAGGAACAGCCTTCGCTCCCAATGATTTAGGAAGAGGCGGAGGACCCTTGGCGCCAAGTGCTTTCGAAGGCAGCGGCAGTTTGACCACAGCCTTTGCCTTGCTCTCATCCTCGCTAGGCTTCTCCGCAGAGCCCTCCGCTTCCTTGGCGTCGGAGAGGCGCGGCTGGGCCTCATCTGCAGAACCCGTCGCCGCCATAGAAGGAACGGTGTCCGCCTCCACGTGTGCTATAGGAACCGCGTCAGTCGTTTGGGCGTCTTGGTTTCCTTGCTTGCTTGCTGGTGTGTCCTGCCTTTGTTCGGTATCACTGGGTGTTTTTTCTGCTAATTCCGTGGAAGTGTCATCGTTAATTGAAGCAGCCTCTGTCATCTGTGCTGGTGTCGGAGCAATGGTTGGACTCGCTTGTAGCGGTTTGGACGAAGCCGTCCTAGGAGGCTTAGGCTTGGGAGGACGCGCGTGCTGGGCTGTATCTTGCGGCTGCGGGGTAATTGCTTTAGGTTTCTGCATGCTGAGCTCTTCGTGTTTATTTGATCGGGGGTATGATTCAGTTTTGGGGATCTCTCCCTTGGATGGGGGAGGCAACAGCAAGCCGCTCTCGCCGGGAGGCTTCGGCTTGGGCTTTGAAGCACCGCCCTCTTCAGTGGTGATAATAATTGTGGTGCCGTCAGGGAGCGACCGCTCCACGAAAGAGCCTGAGTGCTTTGGTAGACGACGGGCTAGCAGCTTCGCCAACGGCGAACTAGCAGCAGAAGCAGCAGCAGCAGCTGCGTCGGGCTGGGGCAGTACTACATCGGATTTCTCTGTCGTCTTGTCTAATGAATCTTTCGAGTCTGAAGTATCAGCTGGCTGCATTTGTTCTCCCGTAGCAACTTCGTTCTGCGCTGCAGCTCCTCGTTTCTCCTCTGTTGTAGCAGTTTGCTGCTGCTGTGTTGGTGCATCTGCTGGCTGTTGCTCTCCCGTTGTACCAGGCTGGCTGTCTGTTGTAGCCGCTTGCTGCAGATGGGGCACAGTTGATTGTTGCTGCTCGGGAGCGGCAGCCGCGCCAATTGAAGATGAAAGCTCCTGTGGCGCCTTCCCTAATTTCAAAGATGCTGGGGGTTTCGGTTTGGCTTTCGTAAACCTGGCACCCTTCGATTGAGCCTGCTCAATAGATTTGCTTGTCTCTGTATCTTTTTCAATTTCCTTCTGTTGTTTAGCAGCGTCGTCGGGAAAATGGGAGTCCTTTAATCCCGACTCTGGTCTGTCTTCGCTTCCCGATGCGGCCTGCTGTGAAGTCCCTGGCACGGAAGACTCAGCCTCTGCCTCAGAGCCGCTACTATCTTCAGCGCTGCTGCTACTAGACGGGCTGTTCAGGGGAGAAGAGTGTGAATCGTCCTCTCTTTGGGACTCCTTCTCTTCTGCGTGCCTCTGTGGCATATCGGGCGGCGGTGCCTCCGTTGAGGCAGCTGGCTCCGAGGAGGCTGCTCTGTCCGTCTCATCTATGTCTCCTTGATGCGCCTCTTCTGCAACTGGCTCCTTTGGTGCCTCTGTTGTTGACTGGGGCTGAATCCAGGAAGCCGCTCCGCCTATCAGATTCCAGTTGAAGACGCCCGGACCTGCAGCAGCCGCAGCCGCCGCAGCAGGTTGTTCAGCTGAGGCACCGCTCTCCTCCGTTTGTGCTGCTTCCCTTGAAGACTCTTCATTAGCCAAAGTGTCCGGATGAACAGCAGAAGATTCGACGTCGGCATCAGCAGCAGCAGCAGGAGCAGCGCCCTCAGTATTCGGCGATCCCACGAGCTGCCCCCACAGGCTCCACCCTGGTGCTTGTTCTGCCGGTTGCTCATGTTCTGTGGGCCCCTCCACCCGCGTCTGCTGTTCAGTGCTTGTTGCAGAATCAATGGAGGACAGATGCACAGGGTTCGTACCACTGTCTTCGTCGGAACTTGTCGCAGAGCTGAGGCTTTCATCCTCTTCTACCTCTCCAGGATTTTGTGCAACTGCAGCCAACTGACCCCAGAAACTCCATGGGGAATCGGTTGAGCTTCCTTCTGTTTCCTGTGAGGTGGTTTCGCTGCCTTTTTCAGCGGGGTGCTGCTGGGAGTCCTCTGGCTGGACGGGGCCCTGTTCCGATTGAGGCTCTTCTGCTTGGGCCTCGGCTTGCCCCTCATTGCCTGAGAAGAACCACATCTGAGCAACTGTTGTCTGTCTCTGTGTCGGGAAGATGGTGAATGAAACGGGTTCTGGCGGAGTCCAGTGGTCCTAGGAAGAGAAGGCATATGCAGCTGTATCAAAAGGGATCCCCAGCCTGTGCTCCCACGGCGTTGCCTCCGTACACCCCATGGACCAACTAGAGATGACAAAATCAATGTAAATAAAAATTAATTGAGGGAAATCGAAGCTTCTCTTGAAGAGCAACGTGGGTTTGCACCCGCCGACGCCAACGAGGCGGGAGGGACCCGAGGTGAACGCTTGGGAAGGTTTCAGACCTTTTGGCGTTGCCTTCGAAAGGCTTTTAGGGAAAATCCACTGAAATTCAAAGATTTAATATGCCTATATACCCGAAGACACACGTGCACGATGCGATCGATACGTTGAGCAGAGTGTCGCTGCAGTGCTTGTTCCCGTCGTTAGGCGTCCGGGTTTGAAGGGGGTAAAAAGTGCCCTTCTGCTGCTAAAACTTCCAATTCAGCAAAATGAAATCACTTTACAGAAGTGTGCCCCCTCTGGAAGCCCCTACTTTGCGCAGGAGACGATCAAACAGCCATGTGCCGATCCGTCAACAGCAGCCTGACCGCTGCTGCGGCAGCGACAAGTCGGCCCACGTGAGGGGCCGTACAATTAGGTGTATTTTATATTATTCGGGAGTAATATAGTCGCCAAATACAATTCCTTTTACCTGTGATTCATCGTACTCACGTGTCCTAAACAACGCACCCTGTAACTCTCACCACTTCGGTCCCCTTTGGGTAGCTGGACATCGAGCCCTGCCTCGATGTACCTTGGCGCTTCCCTGTCCTCGTGGGAAACCAATAATATGAATTCATTTCATTTTCAGTCCTCAAATATTTTTGTCACCTAACTCAGCCAGCATAAATTACACCCCAAGCCCATAGCTGAAACTGCGCCCGTCTTAGGTACCTACTGTAGCCAATGCAGACACTTACTCTTCGCGCAACCTGCTGGCACAGAAAACTGTTTGTACTATTTTCTTTCTTTCCATCATTTGCACAACCAAAACAGAAGCCTTAGAAAATTCCAATCTTTAGACGAGCCCGAGTCCCACAGACACTGAACCTCTCCTCTCCACAAAACGATTCTCCTTGCACCGCCATTACCAATCAGTGAATATCCGTGAGCTCGAAAGGCCATTTTCCTTACAACAAAGTTGTTGTTAACTGAGTTCTTGAAGTAATTTTTCGATCGAAGGGCTGAGTGACAAATGAATTCTCTACAAGTGTCCTTGTATATGTGATTCACATTAAAACGCAGTAACTAGCGAGGTGAGTCTATTGGCTTTCCTCTACATTTTTTTGTTTGGCTCTTGGTGGAACAGGAACAGAAAATGCGGGCCGTTGTGAACACAGAAGACCCCATGGTGACGAGGCGGTGTCCTTTTAGCAAAGGTAATAGGGGTATTCTCGTAAGGGGGATAGCAACAGTTTAGCATTGCTGGAAGATGAGGCTGGATAATATACCATATATAGAAAATACTTATTTTATTGGACTCTATTATAAGCTTTGAGCCACTTTTATACATAATATTTGTGAAGGATGTTATCGGCAAAAACAATAAATAAATAAAATTACAGAATTTGAAATTAACGGCATTTATTCTAACCCCGTGTACATCTTTCGAAGTAAAAGAGAATACCGAAGGGTACGCTGTAAAGAAGTGGCACTGGAACAACCCTGCATTAGATATTTGACTTGACATTCAGGAACTTCGGTTATCTTTACAACTGCATTTCTTCTGGAGATCGTCTTGAGGTATCGTGCTGTATCTAATGGTCGGCATGGAGCAAGATACAAGCTCACAAGGAAGGATGCAGCGAACTGCAGGGAATCTTTCGAAAGCTTGTCACAGTCAAAAACAAGGAAATAAGCTAAGATGGAATGGTTGCATATTGTCATCGCTCACACTGTGCCAGGATCAGCCCAGCTTCACACTGGAGCCCAGAGTGCATCTCTCCAGAGTATGAAATCGCCAAACGACCAAGCGATGAGACAACGGGAGCTAAAGAGAATCACAGGAGAAAATAATTTGGACCGCGGCAGGCATGGAAAGCTTTCTATCCCCCACCGAGCAAAAGTATACAAACACTCTGGGAAGTTTTGAACATAGCTACGATTCGCGCACTTGTCCACTCCTCATTATTTGGACGGCCCGCACAGGTGGAGGTATTATTCACAAACTGCGGTGACGGAAACTTTTTCGGTTGGATAAATTGCAAAGCTCGGCGCCCAGAAGCTTCACCGTTGGAAGACAAACCCGCGACGAGTAAAAAGTATATTTTTGCGCTCACAAACGTCTAGACGCGCTCTCTAGCGTTATCTAGAAAACCAGTTTTGGGGGACGCCAAGACCAACTATTGCACTATCTTAGGCCGTCCCGTCGCGGACTAAAATTCGCATGTTCCCCCTACCTCTCTCAACTACAGGGTGCTATCAACCTTCACGAGCCTGAAGCGGTTGTGAGGAGGCCCAGAACACTGCACCCTCCAAAGCAATTGATCAACCCAACGCTTTTGCAAGCCTGCCGAGTACCACTACACAGAATCCTGCAGCTGTTGGGGAGAGGAAGCGGCATCTACTGAGTTGTAGCACCATCTGCGGCAACTCCCTCACCTAACGTATCCGCATACACCTTTCGGATGCATGCAGGAACACCTTAGTTATTTGATAGGCCTTCACTGGGATTCCAGTAGCCGAGAACAGGCAACATGTGCCAGAGTGGGCGCATGGGCTTACTTCATATATACGCACATATAACCAACTTTCCCATGGTGGGCGATCTTTCCCGCTTCGGGGTTAAGTATCAGTGAGTAGCCTAAAAGGACAATTCGAAACTATTTTTGCATAGTAGGGTCTAGGTATGGGTGCCTAGTTGTGCGCAGAGTGCTGTGGCTACCAGGGTGACGTCATATTTTCCTTCTCTGTTGCGTACTCTCCCTCAACACCATTACGCTTAGGCGGCTCTGTTTAATAATAACATCATTTGTTGAAAGAGCTCTTGAGCATGCAGACCCTTTCAAACAAAAATATTGTTGCCTCTCTGGCCCGGCCGAGCGGTACGTGCATTTAGAGGGGAAGTAGAAACGCCCTCTGTAGAAATATATTTAAACGCGGAAATGAATACAAATTCATCTGTGATTAATTACATCGATATGTGGGTGCAATTATCCATTTACAGGCATACGCATACAATGAGGCACCTATTCGCAGATATAAGAAGTACATTGATTCACAAAGCCACGCATATGCATGCATGTTCATCTGCGCACACAGAAGTACAAATGTGTATGCATATATGCATATGTGAGAGCGCGTGACTATAGACCTGCATCATAGTGTAGATGCACCGTGTATATATCTTTATTAGGGCTACTCTGTGCGCTGCGTCCCTGCCTGGACCAGAGGGTAGGGAGGCGAAGAGTGCGGAGTGCCGCCCCACTTGGGGGGGAGTTCAGGTGTTTGATGAGGAGGGACGGTAAGAATAGGCGCGCCTCTCCACTCCTCTTCCTGGTGCCCTTGTGGAATGTACCTAAAGCAATCAGAGGCAGAAAAAGGCACAAAGCAGTCACCTCCACACCTCATCATGCACATATATATACAAGAATGCAGCATGAATCCTATAGATTAAACGTGCATTTGAAAACCCAAGCCGCATAGACATATGCAGGCCTATACACATACATTGCTCATATTTAATAGCTCTAAACTTTGAACGTCAGCAGCAGCCGCTGCAGCAGTAACGGGAGCAGCAGGAGGGGCAGCAGCAAGTATTTGGTGCCTGTTTGCGTGGGTTGCGTACTTGATTATTTCCTCGGGTTCATGGATAGTCCTGTATCGAATGACCTCTTCAACAACTGAAACCTCTACAATCTTTTCAACCCACTTTTGAACAAACACCGGTTTCTCAACGATGTTTTCGCGAATTTCAACTTTAGGAACAATTTTCGTGTTGTATATCACCTCAGGCACCTCCACCACACGCTCCACCCACTCGATCTGCGGTACTTCTACAATCTGAACACAAACAACCAAAACCCCAACACAACAAGTATGAAGATGAACGAATACAAGACATCCTCCCATGTAATAATGCTCATCAATAGGAAGCAATCGACGCGCGGAGGCCAGCCACCCCCTTAACAGCCGCAAACTCCAACTCATTGTTATTAAAAAGGCACTTCTCCCGCACTACGAGTGCCTGCCTGCCTGCATGCAGGCATGCATCAATCTCCGTTTGCGTGCATCCGGGTACAAGCGTGCATCTGCGTAGATGCTGAGAGCAGCCGGATACGAGTTGACGAAATCGTTGACTTCCAATTTCGTATCTCTAAACCCTCAACACTAAACCCTGGATCGGTGAAGGGTGTGTGTCATGAAATACCTTCTCAATGTACTTGGGGATCAGCTTGGGGACTTCAACAATTTTTTCTTTGATTACAGGCTTGGGCACGTAGACATCAACTGTTCGGGTGACAGGCACCTCCACTGTCCTCGTTACCACATCTACAGGCTGATAGGCAGTGACCTCTAGCTGCAGAAAGATGCAACATAAACAGCGACAATAATAATACACTAAAACAACGAAACACTCAACCCCCTGGACCCTCAGCTCTGCAGACCCACCACCTCACAGCTCCCCATAACAGCCTGTAGATCGCCTGCGCCAATATCTACAGTCGGCCGTTCTGTTCGTCTATCTGTCTATCTGCGTTTGTTTGTATGCATATGTGCGTATGTGTGTGTGTGTGTGCGCATATAATATATATATATATATATGAGTGTGTGTGTGTGTGTGTGTGTGTGTGTGTGTGTGTGTGTGTGTGTGTGTGTGTGTGTGTGTGCGAGCGCGCATGCGTGTGTCTGCCTGTCTGTCTGTCTCTTTCCCACTACATCTTTCCCTATGTGCTTGCACGAGCATCCACATATTCAATTCTTTCGTCTTACCCACTCCCTGGTGGTCTTTGACTCTGAGGCAGGGTTGGGGGCCCCTGGTCTTGGGGGCCCCTGCATGCGGTCTGGAGCTGAGCTCATAGGGGGGCCCACAGATTCCCAAGACTGCGCATTATGAGGGGAGAATTCTGCAGGGCGGGCTGCAGTGGATCTGAACGCCTCTTGGAGAGGCACAGCAGGCGAAGCGTAAGTTTGGTATGGGCCTGCGTGCATAGACCCTACGGGAGGCCCCCCCGGAGTATGTATGGTGCCTATTTGGGGGGCCTCAAGATGGTTGTTGTTGATGTTGTTGTTATTGTTGTGCATTCTACTGGGAAAGAGATCTACAGGGGGCCCCATCCAACGCCCGGGTGAGGGGGGCCCAATGGATCCTGTCGGGGGCCAATGCCTCTGCTCCATCTTCTACAGGTTTGTTCTGTGGAGGTCAGGGTAGAGGCCTTCGCATGCTCGAGAGAAAAGCAATAAAATGAGCCCACTGCAGAATATACCAAGTAGCTGCAAGTATGCCAACGGTATACACCACAAAACAGAGGCGAGGGGCCCTGTATGCAGTCTTCAATTAGTTGCGGCAACTCGCAACATAAGTCCCAAGTCAGTTCCCTGCCCACAGGAATCTTGGAGGCCACGAGAACGAAACCCTCAACAGTAAATCAATTAAAGTTGGTTTTCTTCAACCTCTTGATATCTGTAATGAGGCAGACAAGTTGGCGGCCTGAACGATGTGTTCGCTGAGGTGGAGAGGCATCACAGGTCACTGCGCGCAGTTCAGAGAATGCAAAACAGTTTCGTATAAGGCATAGGATGAAAGGAAGGAGCGTATTTGATATTTAATTCATAAATTACAATGCAGCAGACAACAGTTGCAACAACACCTCTCCCGCTCGCTGCCCGCGGCGCGGCGTGCGTGCCTGCAGCTGGTGTATTTTAAGCCCCCCCCAGCGGCAGCCAGTGGGGGATTTGAATGCCAAGAAAGCTGAAATTTATAAAACAATAAAAAACAATCAAATAAATCATCAGTGGTTGAAGAAGGCAGCACAACAGCAGACAGCCCCATTGAGCTCTCAAGCACAGCTCATCACCCTGTGCAAGCCGAGTCGGCGGCGGTCGCCAGCAGCCACACCGCCAGACCTCAGGGCCTCATATGGGGCTTCAAAGACAAATATTGTTGTTTTTAATCTTCAGTTCGTCATTCTCTTTAATAATTCAAACTATATTAATCTTTTAAAATCCGTTTCAAGACGCGCCCTCCTCCTACCCACAGACCCTCAACGCATACCGGACCATCGGCAACGGTCCTGCGTGCAGCTTGCGCATCGAAGCTAACAGGCGTCATCATATTCGTTCTGAGGAGAAATGTAAGATTGAAATTGTTTTTTTCTTTTATTTGAGACATCTTTTCTTTTTTTTGCTCCGTGAGACACCGCAATGACTCAGGCACCACTCCTGCATTCAGCCGTTGACTTTAGTTCATTTCGGTGCGCATACCAGAAGACACCCTGAAGCGATCGCGGCGACATTTACTCTAAATCGTAAACTATAAACGCTCAAACCTAAATCCTAAACCCTAAGAAGGCTCAGACAGGCTTCTAGTGACTGCCTGCGACCCCTTTTCAAACACGAGACGCCAAACCCTAAACCCTGAACCCTAAACACTAAACCCTGATGCATCAGCAAAGTATGCGTCGAGACATCCCTATGGTGTCGCCTCCAAACGGCCTCCCCACAAGGAGCGGCATTCAGGGAAACCCGCCCTCTGGGGCGACGGTTTTGCAGCCGATAGTAGAGGTAAGCATTTGAGCTGTTTTGTTAACGCCTTAAGGGACTAAAATCTTGCAGCTTCTCGGTACAATAAAAGCTTCCAGTTCTTCTGTATTAACAGTTACATATGCCATCATATTCGGTGTTTTGTTATTAGAGTTGCATGCATGTTGATAGTGCTCTTTCCCTCTAGCACTATTCTTGTGTTAGCAAGTTCATGCACTATGAAAGCCCGTGTATATGTATATATATATATATATATATATATTTACATACATATGTGCACGAGGATATGCCGCAATAAAGACATACTCAAGTATTCATATATATATATGCATATATATATATATATATATATATATATACTTCTCTATTAGAAGGCAAACGTTTATCTTTGTGCCCTATGATCTGCTCTTCCCCGCTCTCTTGAGGAGCATTTCTTTCCTCTGAATTATGCGTGTGGATGCACGAATGAATAAGTATTGCGTTGTTATTGAATAAGTTTTCTGTGTATGTTGTGTTAACTTTATGTCTTTGTACTTACAGGAACGCGTGCACGAAGTTGTTAAAGAGCGCGTTGAAAACCGCTACATAGAAGTGCCTCAGGTGTATTATGTTGAAAAAGTCGTAGAAGTTCCTCAAGAAGTACCCGAAGAGAAAATTGTGCGAGTTGTTAAACCCGTAAAAAAAGAAGTAATTAAATACGTTAAAAAACCCGTCTATGTAGACAAAATCGTACAAGTCCCAGAAATCAAAGTAAGAAACCACGAAAAAACAAACAAAACAGAAAAATAAGATAAACACTATCAAGAAAATAATCCGTACACACACGTACACACATCCGGAAGCAATAGACAGAAAGCAAAGATGTGATACATACAACACAATATAAATATATATATATATATAAGTATATATATAATATATTTATGCATGTACTGGCGTATATAGATATACATATGAATATATGGACACACAGTTGCATATATGCACAACTAAACATTTTTCTGCATACACACATCGAACTATATTTGAATATATTGAACTGTATATATATATATATATATGTATGTATATACTATATATACATATATATCTATATATATACACATATATTGAAAAATGCCAAAATATATAGTTCAGCGTATCTACATTATATATTTATATATATGAATAATGCACTTATTAGAAAAAAACATTACTCGCCTGTTATCTCTGTACGCCCAAAGGAAGAAAGAGGGTTTGTTTGTGATTTTGTTTTTGTTTGGTGTTGCGCAGTACGTCGACAAAATTGTTGAAGTCCCGCGATATGCAATTAAAGAGAAAATAATTGAAGTCCCGAAAGTGCTGGTGATAGAGCGCATCATTCCTATCCTGAGAAGCTATAGGAAGGAGCAAGTGGTTTATGTGGAGCCAGGCGCACAGGTAAACCCTAAACCCCGCACCCTTGTCTTCTTTTCTGCTGATTTCCTACGTGATCAGTGCTGCATTGCACATAGAGTGCTGCTGCTCCGTTCATATGGGGTGTACAGACACCGTTCTGTTGCATGTGGTCTCGCCTAATACCATATAGCTGCTTCTTTGCTGCTGCTGCTGCTGCTGTTGCAGATACCCTTTGAGGGGCAGCAGCAAACTGCCGCGTACAAGCCCCAAAACCAAACAGATCAACAAAATACATCAGATCCCCCTAGACGATATCCCGACGTTGTGAAGCTTCCCCCCCTATGGACTCAAGATAGCCCCGCTACGAGTATCTCTAAAACAAATCCCGTTGAGGGGACCCCAGACGGCGCCCCTGGGGGCCCCCCAGGGGGGCCCCAAGGGGGTTCTCAAGGGGGGCCTCTTGGAGGGCCTCAAGGGGGTTCTCAAAGGAGTTCTGAGGGAGATCTCTCTTTCGGAAGCTCGCACAGTAGCCCTCAGGTGGGCCCCCAGGAAACCCCCTTTGGGGGCCCTGTGGAGGCCCCCTTTGGGGGCCCTCTGGGGCCTCCCGCGCTTGGGGGCCCCCCTGAAAAGAGGTATCAGCCGGGGGCCCGAGCAGAGGAGCACTTGAGGAGTCAAAGGACAGCACCCAACCTTCGTGTGGGCGTCTCAGATGATTATGATAGCAACGCTTTTCTGGCATTGCGACAGTCAAGGAGTGGACCTGCTGCTGCTGCTGTTGCTGCTGCTGCTGCTGCTGCTCGGGGAGGCAGCACGAATTCGCATGCAGGAGATGGGCCGGAGCTGCGTAAGACTCCTTCTGTTAACTAATGAACAAAACTAGCAGAGAGACAGGCACGGAGCTGTTGCTGCTCTTCTCTTCTGCTGCATCTTTTAATAATAAAGAACAACACTTATGCATGCGCATGCATGCAAGAAGTCCCGTTCATTGTGCAGGCCTCAGCCAGAAAAAAACCCAAAACTTCATTTGTTTTCACCACCCTCCATCGAAGCAGACGCTAGAAACTGCAGCAAACTGCTGCTGCTGCACTGGGGGCCCCCCAGACGCCCCCAGCGCTGTAACTGGGGGCGATGTTTGTGTTGTGTTTTATAAACTGATGAATTTTAATTTTTAAACAACAAGGCGGCGTCTGTCTGTACACTACAGCCAAGCAATGCCACGAGATCTAAATGAAGTATTAAACAATATTCATATACATAAACAACATTCATATATATGTATATATTATACATATATATGAATACATATGAATAGTTACGTATGTACATACATATATAAGAAAAAAATATATATATGTATGTATATAACATGCACACAAATAGATAAATACAGATGCGTATATATTAAACGTCTTCTTATCAGAGGTCCAACTCAATCACACGGCTCAGATCCTTCTCCAACTGCCTGCATGCAGCGCAGCACAAAGTGCAGCTTCAGCAGATATACCCGCTATCTTAGGATTTATAATAATTTAGGGTTTAGGGTTAGGGTTTTAAAAACAAATAATGAGGGTTTTGAGGGGATATGCTTAATTTGCATTACTCGAGGACAGCGTCTGCTCGCAGTTTGGAGGGAGAAGGCCGATTTGTTGCTGTTGCTGCTGCTGGTGTTGCTGCTGCTGCTGCTGGCGTTGCTGCTGCTGGATCGTGACTTGATGCAGGAGACGCCTTCATGCTGCTATCATGCTGCAGCAACTTCTTGTGGGCTAAAAAGGTATTCACTAGAGCTGCCAACTTGGGGAAAGTATAAAAAAGAGGAAATATCACCGGCACCGCAGCAGCAACAAAGTCGCACAAACTCGCAGAGTCTGTTCAGTGAACAAACACAATCAACACACAAGCATCATTATTATAATATCTATATACATAGAATATATATATATATATTTATTTATTTATGAATTTATGAAGATATATAATATGAATATTATTCATTTTCAATAGTAGTAGGATTCTATATGTTATTGTTTAACATTCATAAAATTCAACATAAAGTGTAGCATGATACTATGTAATACAGCAAAATAATAATAAAAATAATAGCATTAACAATTATAATACTAAGAAGAATAACAGCAGTAAGAATAATAACAATAATAATAATAATGGTTACAATCAGCAAACAAACGAATAAAACGAAGAATACAAAATATGGAGTTAAAATATTCACCAAACAAATCAAAGAAAAATACAAAAATAAGTCACACAACAAATTAGCAAAGAAAAGCAAAAAGAATATTCAGAAATGCAAGCACACAATTACAGAAAAACACAAAAAATATCAACAGGACAGACATACAAATAAATAAATCAATGAAAGAAGAAATAACAAATATATCCACCAAACAAAACACAAAAATAACTTTCAACAGCCAAACAGCATGAACAACAAAAAGAGAAAACAATTAAACACAAACACGAAAAACAACATAAAACAAACACGCATACAAACAAGAACAAAACAAACAACGTAATACACGCAAAGAAAAAATATATATATATATATATATATATTTATATGTATCTGTATACATATATATATATATATATCTGTATTTATATATATATATATATATATATAGAAGGACATATTTTTATTCCTATCAAGACTAAAGAAATGAATATTTCTGAATGATTGCAGTAGACAATGAAAAGTATATATATAATTTTTAATAGTGTGAGCTGTATATAGAGCTGCTCAATGAATAAAAAAGAGTAATTAATATTAATATTTACTTACCACAGAATTCGTAGTGTTTGACTGCTTCTAAGAAAACAGCATTTGCAGTTTCTGCTGCAAATACAGGCTCTGTTTCTCTGCTTCCTCCAGGGTAAGGTTTATTATGTTTCAAGTCGCATGCAACACAAACAATGCAGTTTAAATAAAATAAACAAAGCTCAACGCGAGTAAAAGGCTTCAGTGCTGGATGAACTTTTAAAGTATCTTTAAACCCCACATGTACACCCTCAGCAGGACTGCAGCACACACACCAGCAGCAGCAGCAGCAGCAGAAGCAGCAGAAGCAGCAGCAGTGAGAGCGCAGTAACATTTCACCAGCAGCTGCGGCAACGGATGACGAAGAAATAGAAGAAATCAAAGCAGCAGCAGGAAACAAAAGGAGCAGCATCAAACGTCAGCAGCAACAGCAACTGCAGCTGCAGCACGCTGCTGCTGCCGTTTATTGGGGTGTAGCTGCTCAAGGAAGCCTCCTCACTCTGGAAGAATTTGTTCGTAGTCTGCATTGGCGATGCTGTTAACATTTGACTGTGCTGCTGCTGCTGCTGCTGTTGCTGCTGCTGTTGCTGCTGTTGCTTTTTTCCATAGACAAGCAGCCTGCTGCTGCAGCAGCCGTGAGAGCAAAGGGAGTATTCGTTGCACGCAGCAGCAGCAGCAGCAAACTCTTGCTGCTGCATGCAGAGGGAAGCCAGCAGCAAACAGAAGCTCTACTCCTTGAGGTCTTATTGAATATTGCAAATCTAATAATAAACCCAAACGCGAATACAGAGATGAATCTACCCCTGCAGCGGCACATGCCTCGATTACCACTTGTAGTGCTGCTGTCTCCTGCAGCAAACGCATGCAGCAATATATATATATATATATATATATATACAAATGTATATGGATATATATGTATATTTATTTATATATACTTTTAGTCTTATTCATACATTCATACATACGCAAACAATCCAGCAAAAACCAGCGGGCATACATATTTGCACGCAACATTAATAAATACACACATAAACATCAATATATATAGCATATATATATTATATATATATTATATTATATATATATTATATATGTAGGCATATACATAATACCTATATATAGACGTATATGCATACAAATATACTTAGAAAAATCAAAATGTAAGTGTATTTATATATGTAATGCATATTATATATTACATCTATTATTATATATACTATATATATTATATTAGATATTATATTATATATATATGCATATTATTTTATTTATGCAGGATAAACAAAGGGGTACAGACACCCGCAAGACGCGCAAATCAAAACGCCGAAATATAAAATAAACAAACAAATTTACACATAAATAAATAAATAAATATATATATATATATATACATGTATATATATATATATATATCGTATATATGTACATAGTGATGCATATATATATATATATACATGCATATATATATATATATTATGTGCATATTGATATATATATATATATATATGCTTATATAAGTATGCGCTTATGTACATTATATACATACATATATATAATATATATGTGTTAAACGAGCAAATATAATGCAGAGAAGCATACACAATACACACACATATATATATATATATATATATATTTGCATATATATATAATGTGTGTGAGAGAGAAACAGGAAGCGAGAGGCAGCAGCAGAGGGAGAAAGCGCAGAGTATATAATTTGTTTGTGAATAAGAATAAAAGTGTGTGATTACGGTGTATATACACCTGAAGCTGAATGATTTCATCGGCAGCAATAAGAGGGGGGGCCCCCCCTGCAAGCGTTGGGGGCCCCATACGTGCATAGGCTTGAAGCTTGAAGAGCAGCAGGTTAAGAATAGAAGGAAATATATTTGCTGCTAGCAGCTGCTGAACTACTCGAGAAGGCAGCTGCAGCAGCAGCTTTAATGGATTTTGCATTACACATAAATAATAAGACTCAAGCAGCTCTTCATCAAAACCAGCAGCACCAGCAGCAGTAGCACCAGCAGCAGCAGCAGCAGCAGCAGAAGCTTTAGCAGCAGAAACGCCTGTTAAAGAAACAAATGCTCCTGCATCACCAGCTGCTGCTGCTGCTTCCTCTCCTGCTGCTGCTGCTGCTGCGTCTGTAGGCACATCGTCTGCTGTGGGGCTGAAATCCGCATCAGCAGCAGCAGCAGATGAAACATCTTTCTTTTCTTCTTCATTAGTTAGAAAGAAACTAATTAAATAAGAAATTACTGCAGAGACACCAGCCAAAGGCTCGCTCGCTATTAATAGCTGCAGCCTTTCTCCCTCTGCCTCAGCAGCAGCAGCAGCAGCAGCAGCAGCAGCAGCAGCAGCAGCCCCTGCTGCTTCCTTGCCGCAGGAACTTGCTGCTACAACCCTATACAAAAACACACAAACAAACAACAGGATATACAATTACATACAAAAAATACACATACATGCAAGTATATATATATATATATATAAATGCATATTCTCTATATTTGTATATATATATATATATACATGAAATGCTTATATTTGAATGTGAATATATATATATATATATATATATATATATGTATATATGCATGTAGACATAGAGAAATAAACCAAACAAACAAACAAATAAATAAACAAAACAAAAAAGCAAACAAACAAACAAAACGAGCAAAACAAACAAACAAACAAACAAACAAAAACAAACAAAACAAACAAACAAACAGACAAAAATAAATAAATAAATTTCATATTTACATCTCCATCCAGAGTGCAGCGCAGCGGCGAACAGCAGCAGCAGACAGCATAAATTTATTTTTTGTTATTTTTTGATTATCTTTTCGAGTGTCTCTGCAGTTAGAGACAACAAGCGGAAATAAATCAAGAGACAGACAACCAGTAGCCCTGCAAACGCATGCACACGCAGTTCAAACAATATATACACCTTATTGTGTAATATATATAATATATATATATATATTTATTTACAACTATGCAGCTATATAAATATGTATATATATATATGTTTATTTATACATGAATATATATATATATATGCAATATATAATATATATATATATATATATTGTAGGTATATTATATGTATACATATATAGAGATGCATGAATTAAATAAACCAACGAAATGAACAAAGAAATAAAAAATAAATAAAACAAATTAGTAAAAAGTGAGGGGATAGCAAATAAAATATCAACACTGAACTCCTATGCAAAGGAAAACAGAGCAAAAAAACTGCTGTTGCTGCTGCTGCTGCTGTTGCTGCTGCTATTGTTGCTGCTGCTGCTGCCTACCTCTCCAGTGTATCCGCAGCATCAGCAGCAATAAATACTGCAGGGTGGGGAGCTGCTTCGTGCAGCAGCAGCAAAGGCGATAAAGAAGGAGTAGGAATATCTAAGGAAGCCCTCTCAGGTAAACAATCATGTACAGCTTCAGTAAACAGACGCAACATCCAGTGGCTTAGTGTGGGGCTGCATGCGCATGCAAACAGCAGCAGCAGCAGCAGCAGCAACGGAAGCAGCGGTAGCGCAAGCAGCAGAAGTAGCATAAGCAGCAGTAGCACCATAAGCAGCAGCAGCAAAAGCAGCAGCAGCACAAGCAGCAGCAAATGCAGTGTGCATTTTGAGCAGTGATAGGATTTTATCAGGGTTTAGGGTTTAGGGTTTGCGGCTTTTAGCTGAAACAATAACAATAAATGAATAAGAAGCAACAACAAAACCAAGGAGACAAACAAATACAAAAAAGACAGAGATAGATAGAGGGATATCAAAGGAGATTAAAAAGAACAAACAAATAAAACAAACAAATAAAACAAACAAATAAAACAAACAAATACAACCGCTATTAATTCATTTAAAGCAAACACAAAAAATAATTATCTGTTTTATTTTTAAAGTAATTTATTATTTTGTTTTATTTCTATTATTATTATTTCTATTATTTACTACTGTTAATATTTTTTAAATATATTATTATTCTTCATACTATTTATTAATTAATTAAAAATAAACAAATGCATAAATTAATTAATTAATTAATTAATTAATCAATTAACTCAACGGAAGCCAATTATATATATAATGAAATAAATTGAAATAAATTGAAGACCTAATTAATGCAAATTAACAAACAAACAAATAAATAAACAAATAAATGCATTAACTAATTAATTAATTATTTATTTATTTAATTTAATTAATTAATTAATTAATTAATTAAAAATTAGAAGCAGCGCACTGTGAAGAAAGAAAAGATAGAGCTGAGCTCCAAGGCAGCGAATGCAGACGTCGCAAGTAGCGACAGTCTCGAGCTGACAGCAACCAACATAAAAATATAAACAAATAAATTAATAAATAAATATAAATAAATGTAAATAAATAAATATAAATAAATGAATATAAAATAAATAAATATAAATAAATAAGCATCAGTACATAATTAAATAAGTATGTATATGTATATATATATATGAAGACATAAATAGATAAACATGTAAATAAATGCATATGCAACAAATAAACAAGTAAAAAAAGAAATAAAAAGATAAATAAGAAGAAAATAAAAATATTTGAAGAATAAAAAATAAATAAATAAATAAGCGAGGAAAAAAAGAATCTGCAAATGGATACACAGCCATGTAAATAAAATAAATAAAAAATAAATAAATAATAGACGAAAAAAACAAATAGAAATACAATGTATATACTTATTCACTTGAGCGGAGGGCAGCAGCAGCAGCAACGTAGCGGCAGCAGCAGCAGCAATGTAGCAGCAGCAACAACAACGTAGCAGCAGCAGCAACAACAACAGCCTAGCAGCAGCAGCAACAAACTAGCAGCAGCAGCAGCAACAGCACGAGCAGCAGCTTGTTCAGCTGCAGGCGCAGCAGCTGGCGCAACAGTAACAGACGCAGCAGCAAGGAGCAGCAGCAGCAACAGCAGCAACAAACGCAGCAGCAACAAAACCAGCAGCAGCACCAGAAACGTAGCACCAGCACCACAAGGAGCTGCAGCAGCAGCGGAAGCAACCCTAAGCAGCAGCAGCAGCAGCAGCAGCAGCAGCAGAAGAGCATATACCTCTAAAGTATGGTATTGCGTGCATCCTCGCAATAATATACAGCAGCATAATTGCGCTGCTGCTGCTGCTACACTCTTCCTTTCTTGCTGCAGCAGCGTCGCCTGCTGTCAAGACGGAAGCAGCAGCAGCAGCAGCAGCAGCAGACGGGAAGGAGTACTGCTGCAGTGCTGTTAACACCTCCGGGTAGTCCTGAGGGCCCCAAAGCAGAAGAAGCAGCAGCAGCAACCGCAACATCAACAGCAGCAGCAACATCAACAGCAGCAGCAGCATCAGCAGCAGCAGCAGCAACATCAGCAGCAGCATGAGCAGCGAGAGTCACATAAACAGCACCAGTAGAAGCAACAGCATCCGCAGCAGCATCTGCAGCGGCAGCAGCAGCAGCAGGTTGATAGGAGAGTGTAGGGGCTTGAGGAGTTTGCTGCTGCTGGGGTGTACTGACAAGGAGAGAGGGTAGCGTAGCAGCAGCAAGAAGATTAGGTGGTGTGGTGCTGCTGTGAATAAATGCAGCAGCAGCAGCAACAAGATGCTGCCAGCGCTGAAGAGCAGCATAGGGTAATCGAAAGAAGCAACCACCTTCCTGCTGCACTTGCTGCTTAAGTGCTGCTTTAGGTTGTAAGGAGAGAGCAGCAGCAAATGCATTAAGGCCGCTCTCACATATAAACAACCAGCACTGAAGCCCCAGCAACTCCGCTGTATCGCGCAGCTGCTGCTGCTGCTGCTGCTGCTGCTGCTGTTGTGTGCTGTCGCTGCTGCTCAAGCCTCCTTGAGGAGCTTCAGAAGAAGAGACAAGAGGAGACAGCAAACGCAGCAAGGAGGCCCTTAAGTAGCATGTTTGTGCAGCAAGTACATCCATCACTGCGTCTGTCTCCTGCTGCTGCTGCTCCTGCTGCTGCTGCTGCTGCTGCTGCTGCGGGAGGAGGCCCCATGCCTTCCAAGCCTGCAAAAAGCTATTAAATATAAACCCAAACAATATACTGTTGACCCCTCTAAAAGAAAGAAAGGGAGAGACAGACAACGCCTGCGGAACTGCAGCTCTAAGGACAGCATAAATCTCATCTGCTGATGAAGCAGGAAGTGCATCCACCTGCTGCTGCTGCTGCTGCTGCTGCTGCTGCTGCAGCAGGTGGAAGGGTACGAGGTAAGGGGCCCCCACAAAGCACTGACCAGCAGCAAGGGCCCCTAAACGCTGCAGCAACTCTGCATGCGTCTCCTGAGACAGCAGCCCTTCCCCCATCATACAGCAGCAAACTTCACCAAATGCTATTTGCTGCTCAGCTGCTGGCTGCTGCTGCCCGATACGCAGCAGCATCAGCAGCAACGCACGCGGCAAACTCCGCTGCAGCTGCCTTGCTGCTGCTGCTACTGCAGCTGCTGCTGCTGCTGATCCAGGCGTTGCTGCTGCTGCTGCTGCTGCTGCTGTAGATGCGTGCAGATCCAGAAGCCCCAGCACCTCTGCAGCAGCAAAGGGGCCCCAGCGAGACCCGCAGCAATCAAAAGAAGAAAAACCCTCTTCTCTTTCTTCTTCACAATCAGATGAACGGGGGGCCCCCAAAGGGGGGCCCCCTGAAGAGGCAGTGGGGGCCCCTAGGGGGCCCCCAACTGCTGCATGGGGGCCCCCTTGGGGCCCTTGCGCAGTCTGTAGTAGAAGTATTTGAAGGGTATTAGAGACTGCAGCAGCTTCTTCAGCAAACTGCTGCAGCGCTGGCGAAGCCTTCTCATTTGCTGCTGCATGCAGCAGCTGCTGCGTCTGCTGCTGCTCCCAATCTAAACAAAGAATGAAATAACAAAGCAACAGCTGCGCCTTCAAGTGAGGGGCCCCCCTCTTTAACAGCAGGGCCCTCGCCAGGGCCCCCGGCCGCAACGAACCCCTCCACAGTACCCCCAAAGGGCCCCCAGAGGGGCCCCCCAAGGGGCTCCCTAAGGGACCCCCTAAGGGGCTCCCTAAGGGGCCCCCCATAGGGCCCCCTAAGGGGCCCCCTAAGGGGGCCCCCATAGGGTCCCCAGTGGGGGCCCCTGTGGGGGCCCCAAAGGGGGCCCCAAAGGGGGCCCCAAAGGGGGCCCCCGTGGGGGCCCCTAGGGGGCCCCTAAGGGAGTGAAGGGATAGAGTGTTGGTGGCAATTGCAGAAGCAATATCTTCGACAGAAGCAGCGAAGGCAATGCGGAGCAGCGCTGTGGTGCTGCAGTGTACAGGGACATGAGGTGAAGAGAAAGAAGCAGAAAGATGAAGACAAAGTGAAGGAGATAAGCTGCATATACACCGCAGAATTAGAGGGAAAGGTGAAGAAAATGAAAAAGATAAAACAGCCAAACTTTCTATCAACAATATTATACACTCCCCACCAATCTGCAGCGCATGCACACACAAAAACAACAATTAACCCTAAACCCCAAACCCTAAACCCTAAACCCCAAACCCTAAACCCTAAACCCTAAACCCTAAACCCTAAACCCTAAACCCTAAAACCCTATATCCTCAGTCAGAAACCCTTATATACTATCCCCCAAACCCTAAACCCTTATACCATAAACCCTTACAACCTAAACCCTAAACCCTCAATCTACCCTAGACCCTAAACCCTTATACCCTAGGCCTTGAGGGTTTAGGGTTTAGGGTTTAGGGTTTAGGTGTCTTACTTGGAGGGCTTCTTGTGCTGTAGGTGCATTTAAAATAACAGAGAGAAAAGGCTTAGCGAGCGCTACCTCTGCAGCAGCAAAGGGGGGCCCCAGCAGCAAACTTCTCGTAGTTGCTTCTGCTGCTGCTGCTGCTGTTGCTGCTGTCGGAGGCCCCCACATCTGCTGCCACAGCCACATTACTGCTGCTGCACACAGGCGCAACGCTCCCCTCTGTGTTGCTGCTGCAGCAACTGCTGCTGCTGCTGCTGCATCTACTGCTGTTGCTGTTGCTGCTGCACCTGCATCTGCTGCTGCTGTGCATGCAGCAGCACCTGCTACTGCTGCTTCATTTGCTGCTGTTGCACCTGCAGCAGCAGCACCTGCTGCGGCAGGTGCCGCTGCTGAAGCTGCTGCTGCTGCTGCTGCTGCTGCTGCTGCTGCTGCTGCTGCAGACTGTTCAGGGACACTTGAAGGCAGCAAATGATACAAATGTGGCAGCAGCAGCGGCAATAGGGGCCCCCATATCTTCACCCCCGCTTCAACAATTGCAGCTTCTGCTGCCGGCCCCGC